AGAGCGACGGCAGCAGAGTGGATTGAACAGATGCATCTGAAGGGGAACGCTTGGAGGAGCGGCAGCTACCATACAGCAGTTTGCAAAACACGCCATGCAAGTGTTTGGATTCTGGAGGCGGCCTTTCAACAGCGAGCATCAACATGTTGAAGCAACCTTCAAGCGCACTGTAGTGGAGTATCCAGAGGAAGATCCAGCCACATGGGGAGATCAGCAGGAGCTGCACGAGGGCACGTTGAATGACCTTAAGCAGCTCCGCTATGCGATAATACAAACACTACCGTCCTGGAGAGCATGGCCGAATTGGAGCGCACCAGGGGACATTCTCAGAGTTCTGTTTGATCCCAAGTGGGTTTATAAGCACAATGGACATGGAGGGCTTGGCGCGAATGTTGAGGAGGAGTGGAAGGCTCCAAACTTCGAGAAAGTTGTACCTGCTGATGCGCGCGATCAGACGATAAGCTCGTGGACCGGTGGCATGGCATCAAGTTCATATGTTTCGCTTGCCCAAGAACAATGGAAAGAAGGGAACTCATGGAGAGAGACCAATTATGCTATTATGTGGATTGGGGAGATCGCTTTTCAAGTCCAGTCTGAAGAGATGTCCGACGTGTAAGTATTGGATGCATGGGGGCATTGCACATCGGGGAAGGGAGGGCGCGATGATCACTCAGCTCTGTGGCTCGTACAGATTAAGACGAGCAGGCATACCGCACATAACGGAATATCACTTTGCGACGCATGTTTTCTTGTTGTGTCACGAAGCATCATTCAGTGGCAGCCGCTATGGACCTAGCCATGGGATGACGAGACACATTTTCTAGAGCAGAGAATTATGAGCAGCATTTTTTTGGTGCAGCATGGTACAATGGGAGCACATATGCAAAATCATGAAGGAGCATTACCAGGTGATCACGCATCGACAAAGATATTTGTGCATGCATATTCTCATGGAGTTCAGCTGGCTACCAACAGTATGGAGAGGGACAAGTGGCAAACCATGTTGAAAGTGGTCTCTATGCCGATTGGGCTGGAGCATGAGCACAGCATCGACTTGGCCACAACTGGCTTTGTGGACGATGTTGGCAGGAAGATGATTGGAGCTTCGGTTTCACACTTATCGAGCTTGGGCAGATGGGGGAATATTATTTTGCACGCGGGGTTGGAGGAGGTAGGAGGAGCCCAGAACAGAGGCAAGTTAATCTAGTTCAGGGAGCAATGCGTAATGCAAATTTTACCAACCCGGCCTTCCATGAGCAGCCTCACTTACTAGGAGGAGCAGTGGAGAATGCAGCCACATATTTTATTTAGAAGGGATGCGTCATTATGAAAATGGTTCTCATCAAGAAAAGGTAGCTAGACTACAAGCCACATTAAAGGCAGGGAAAATATGGAGCTTCTGGACTTCGAGGATACCGTTTAGACTCAGGACGATTGTATTGCATGGACAAGTGGTAAACGCAGCACTAAGTGGACTAGAAGCAAACGTTCTGAACATGGGGACCCCGCTCACCATCAAATGCTTCAACCCAATGCAAAGCAATATTATTCGTTATGCACGAGTACTATCAAAGGGCAAGGGCGCGAGCAAGATAGGGGGCAAGTACAGAAGCATCAGCAACTTCGAGGTTCTTCGGAAACTAGGCATCGGCACGCTTTTCTGCGAACTGCGCATCAGGAGATTGCAGTTGCTGCAGTCCTTGGTCAAGAGACCGAAAGAACATGCACAGGTGATTGCTGCTTTGTTTGCGCGCGTGAATGTGGGCGTGAAAATGTTGACATCCACGAGGGGAGGGTGACGGCGAAGGCGAATCCGTGGTTGCAGCAGCTGTGGGATGACGCGAAGGCTCTGGAGTGCTGCGGTGAGGGGGCAAGTTTTTTAGAGTCCCTGGAGGAGTCCTTCTGCATAATATTTGAGGAGCCGTGGCGCGAAGATTTCCTTGCGCTTGATCCCCATGTGTTGAGGGCGAGAGCGATAATTATCGAGGCCCCCCCTCCACGTGGCCTCGGTGGTGAGCCGCCCAGGGATGAGGAAAGTTTGGAGAAGCCCGAGGAGGGTGAGGGCCCCTTTTAAGTGTGTTGCCTGTGATGTGAGTTTTAAGACGCGTCAGGCCATGATCATGCACTATGTTAGGCCCCAGGCCGAAAATCATGGGGCTCGTAGCGTCCCGTATGCGGTCACTTTATCTAACTATTAATTTGCAACTGCGCGTTGGCTGGCCGTGAGGCGGCCCAGCACCACGCGCTCAATGCACTCATCAAGAATCGGTGCTATGTCGATGGTAGCCCCAGGTCTCACATGCGTGTTGCACACAAGCAAGTTCCATGCCCATTATGCAGCCATATTGCTGACAGTCCTGATTTTCTTGATTCGCACTTTCTTGCTGAACATCTTCCACCTATCATCGGCGACGAACATTCATTCTCATTAGATGCCGCAGTGGTTGCCAGCAGCTGGATTTGAACCGAGCAATGGCTCAGGGACGGCAGCGGGATCAGAACAGGAACAGCAACAGCCGCCGCCACAGCAGAGGCGCAAAATGACGGATCAGAGGGACGTGTCTCGCAAGCTCACCATGCAGCTGGAGGCGCGACTGAGGGAACAAGAGGCGGGGGACTCGCACTTCAAGTGCCCGTCGGGCCACCCTGTCATCATGGCGATGATTGTTGCGGGACAGAAGTACGACAGCTCGGTCAAGGCATCGGGAGCGTAGCACACCTTCGGATCGCCACATCCACGCGCCTTCATGGCCATGCTGGACTCGCTCAGCAAGGCGGACACAGCAGGAACAGACAAGGAGGTGCAGATTATATTCAAGGCAATGGTCAGACTCAGAGAGTTCGTGGAAGGCGGCAAGCCCGACGACTTGGAGGAGGGGGTGCACAGCTGCTGGGCCAGCGAGCACTTCAAGAAGGCAAACCAGCAGCCACTGCATCGCATCGTCTTCAACGTGTCAGGGCATTGGCCGCCTGCAAAAACGCCAGAGGAGGACCTCGACCTCCAAGGCGCGAGGTACCATCCGCTGGAGCTAGACACGGCCACAAACAAGGTATGGCTACAGGTCGACGGGCTGCTGACGCAGGCACTCCGCCATGTGGGGGGCCACGAGGCTGCCAGGGGAAGCGCCAGTGGGGGGCCTGGCACATCAGATGCGCAGGAAACGAAGAGGAGAATATAGATAAAAGGCTGCCGCCTCTAAGCATAAAGTTGGGAATGTCGAAATGGATGGGAATTATCAAACAGCTATTACAGCTTCTGGGTTTATTGTGGATGGAACTGATATGGATGGTTATTTCCAGGCAGTTTCCTCGCCTCATGAGTCTGAGAGTGCATCCAGTCTTTCTCATGTGCTGGCAAGCCAGCCAGCTCCAATGCACGGGGGTTTGAGGCAGAGTGGAGCTCCAGCAGTCCAGAGTACTCTGTGTCCCTCAATAGTTCTGGGGGTACCTGTAGTCCGGGGGGGGTGCCTATAGTCCGGGGGGGGGGTACTTGTAGTCCGGGGGGGGATACCTGTAGTCCGGAGGTACTTGTAGTCCGGGGGGGGGGGGGGGTAGGTAGTCCGGAGGGGGGTCCTGTAGTCCCCCGGGGGGGGGGGGGCATGTGGTCATGCCTCAAAGCACACGTAGTTCCACGCACGCGGGTGTTTAGTACTTACGCGCGCGGGACCTCACGCGCATCGTTGCACACGACACGCCCGCGCGCACGCGCGCATGCACGCGCAGACTCACACGCGCGCGCGCACGCGCGCACGCAACCGCACGGAACCGCACACACGCACGCGCAAGCACACACGCACGCACACGCGCGCACGCACAGACACTCTGTATCATGACAATGACAACTTCCCAGATATTGCATGATTGCGCTGTCGGCTTAGGTCACAGCCAGCGATGCCCAATTTCTTAGCACGCCTAAGTGAAATTGTGCGGACGCATCTTGGCGGGCCGCTTTGGCTTCCAGAGACTACGTAGCGAACGCGGGGGGGCTTGCAGCTCCGGGGGCTAAGGGGGGTACCTGTAGTCCGGGGGGGGGTACCTGTAGTCCGGGGGGGGTACTTGTAGTCCGGGGGGGGGTACCTGTAGTCGGGGGGGGGTGCCTGTAGTTCGGGGAAAGGGTACGTGTAGTCCGGGGGGGACCTGTAGTCCGGGGCCCCAAAACTATTGAGGGACACGGAGTAACCACGAACCCTTGGGCCCCGTCTCTAGGGAGGCCGGTACGTCTGGAAACCTCTCGTCTGAGCAGCCACCGCTGGAAGCAGCTCAAAAAAAACAGAGAGTCAGGTGACACCACGGGTAGCATCTCTAGGCAGAGTCAGACTCCCCAGAATTCAGCTGACAGTTTTAGAATATTGCTTCGCAGGCTCGGTTTGAATCGTCAATGAGTTTAAGGTCAGCGAGCACTAATGTGTTGGGGGGGGGGGCGAGCCTTTAGAGGCGAGGCGCCCCCGCGCCAGGCGATCTCCGTCTGCCCACACTCGGGCTAGGCACGGAGGTTGTCAGGCCTTGTGCTCCCTGAAGGAGAATAGACCCAGGTGGGTGTTATGTTTCTCTCGCCAGGCTCTGCGGCACCCGCATTTTTTAATGTCAACAAATCGGACTAATGCAGTACGAATGAATGAATGAATGAATGAATGAATGAATGAATGAATGAATGAATGAATGAATGAATGAATGCATATATATAGGAATACAAATACATGACAAACATATTACACAAATGTCTTACATGCAACCTGCCCGTCGAGGAGCAGGGGGAGGTCCTCGACCCTCGAAGAGGTCCACCCACCGCGCGCGGCGCTCCGGCGCCGAGAGGGCCGCCCGCACCCCCCTCGAACAAGAAATAACTGCATAGGTATCAACGTTTGACGCTCCGCGCGGATTTCTTGCATCCGCGATGGCCCCCCCCGGCGGCGCCTCCGGCGCCGCCCCCCTCTGGCGCGTTGCGCGCGCAAGGGAGGCGGGCCTGGCGCAGATCCAAGAGGTCCGTGCGGAGCGCCAACAGTTTCTGTCTTACGCAGTTGGATTATTCGTCTGCCCCCTCTGGGGTGCGCCGGGCGCCGCGCGCCCCGGTGCCCGCGACCATCCTGTTCGAGCCGCGGCCGGAGCAGAAAGCTCGCCGCCGCCGCCGTTCGGAGCTCACGCACCCAGCCCGCCTCGGGCAATGAGCAGAATCATGATGGGAGGGTTTTCCATATTTTCGTCTTTTCGAGGCCCTCGACAGCCCTCGGGGCCGTCGGGAAACGGCTCAGGATCAAAAACCGGTCCCGGGGAAAGGGTCGGGACTTCCGGGGGTCGGCGTTATGAAAACTTAAAAAAATGACGTCGGGTGTCTGGGCAACGGGGCTGAGCACCTCTTCGAGAGAGGAAAAAACACCCCGATACCCATGAGTTGCGTGTACTAAACGGCCTTGGGCGTTTATCTAGGCCTTCTAGATGGGGTCGGAGTAGATGGGGTCGGACGATCGCGCCGCATCTCCGATGTATCTTTGATGCGGCTCGATGTGGAGCCCGATTTGCTTCACGTCGACGTCGCCGATGCCTGGCCCACGTCGACGATGCATCGCTAACGATGGTTCGATGTCGTGCGCAAGAGAGGTGTCTTGGCCAGGAGCGCCAAGGACCTCTCATGCGTAAGCAAGTTGTAGCCACGAGACTCGAGATCTCTCGAGTCAGTCTTGTGCCAAGATCTACAAGGTCAGTCTACGCGAGCGCCCAGGATCATCATCTTCAGCATCATCATCGTCATTATCATCACCACCACCACCACCACCATGATGATGATGATGATGATGATGATGATGATGATGATGATGATCATCATCATCATCATCATCATCATTATCATCATCGTCATCATCATCATCATCATCATTGTTATCACCTGCGACGGGAAAATCGTCCATTATCCCCGCCAGACCCCCGAACTTGATCATCCCCAGGGGAATATTATCTGGAGCGCTGGGTTAGTGCATCGGCGATGCAGGCGATGCGGGGCGATCCTCTGACCCCATCTACTCCGACCCCATCTAGGAGGCCTCTGAAAATCTGGGTGTTTACCAAACGGGCCCGCCCGGTTCGATTCCTCCCTGCGGTGTGCTTGCGAAGCGGCCTGGCTTGCTTGGGTGCCAGTTCTGAGCGTGGTGTGTCCCCTGCTCTCTACTGGCGGGCTCGGCCAGAATGCCAGTCGGGAGGGGAAAAACACACAGACACAACTAATTGTTGTTTCCCCGGAAAATATAAGAGAAATATGAGAAGTGGGGGAGAAGACGAAAACCCGAAAAAAACAGAAAACATGTGTGTGTAATTGTTTGTGTGTCCCAGGGCCCCATTCAGCCAGATCCTGCAGGATCCCCTGCTGGGCTGGAGATCCTGGCCGGGCCGGGCCGTAGGAGCCGCTGTCTCGGCCTTCGCGGTGCTCCCGTAACTGGCGGAGCCGGGCTTGGGGGGCCCTGCGAAAAGTTGCAGTGCAGCTGTTTGATCATAGATTGTTCTGGGACGCACAAAGGCATACTAGTACTATGTGTTATCCTTGGAGGCGCGCGTCCGACCCAAACACATGGTATACCCATCTCGTAGCATATCGTTTTCCGAGCGGTGTGGCCAAAAAGCGCCCGCCACGACGCATGTATCATAAGATTTCTCGGTGCGCGCATCGCCCCCAGGGGGGCGACGCACATATAGTATAAGTGTGTTGGGGTGACGCCGATTTTTCGGTAGCAAATCATCGGAGCCTTGTGTACCCTCGCAATTTCGTCCTCGGCGTCGACTCGCGTCGATCAGCGTCTGTGAGTCGATGTGACAGCGCCGATTTAGCGTCGGCTAGCGTCGATCAGGGTCGATCTAGCGTCGATCAGCGTCGACTAGCGTCGATCAGCGTCGATTCGCAGGAGTCGACAAGATGGTATGGGATGCTCCCATCAGTTGTCACCGAAGATTGCGTTGGGTTGGCGCGTGCTCGAGCCGTCGTCGTTCGAGGGCCGAGGTGTGAGGATCGAGGTGTTCAGACGTTGCAGCGGGTCGGTTCTCCAGCCTCGGGGTGCTCTCCAGCGGCTGCGGTTCGCCGAGGGCGTTCCAGATCGTCCCAAACGGCCGCCTGAGACCCGAGTTCTGGCCCGAGAGCGGGACGACGAGGACCGGGCAGACGTGGGACCCGGGTCTGCCGACGCAGCTCGGGTTCGCCGCTGGTTTTGGGTGCTCTTGGCAGGGCCCATGGAGGCGAAGGCGTGTCCCCCAAACTCAAGTCGCTCGGAAGAAACAATTGAGTAAGCATACATTGCCGGAGGTCCGCGCGGAGTTTGTGCTGTCGGGTTTGGGCCCCCCTATGCCAGCGCCTCTGGTGCCGCCCCTGGCGCGCTCCGCGCGCCAGGACAGGGGGTCCCGCGCCGACCCACAAAAGCCACATGGACCTCCGAAAGTTGATGATTCGAATGCTTCCGCCGCACCGCCGACCCTTTGGGGTCTTTCGGTTTCCCGAGCTGTCTCTCACTGTCGCCAGGGAGTGGCGGTTACCTGCGTTCGCGTCAGTTGCTCCCGTAGTCCGTTCCGAGTCGCGTTCGGAGGAACCAGAGGAGAAGGAGGAGGAAGAGGAGGAGGAGGAGGCGGGAGAGGCGGGAGAGGCGGGAGGAGGAGGAGGAGGAGGAGGAGGAGGAGGAGGAGGAGGAGGAGGGAGGAGGAGGAGGAGGAGGAGGAGGGAGGGAGGGAGGGAGGGAGGGAGGAGCAGGAGAAGAGAAGAATAACGCGGATGATGATGATGACTGATGATGATGCTGATGATGATGATGATGATGATGATGATGATGATGATGATGATGATGATGATGATGATGCTGATGCTGATGCTGATGCTGATGCTGATGCTGATGATGCTGATGATGATGATGATGACCATGATGATGATGATGATGATGATGCTGATGCTGATGATGATGCTGATGCTGATGCTGATGCTGATGCTGATGCTGATGATGCTGATGCTGATGCTGATGCTGATGCTGATGCTGATGCTGATGCTGATGCTGATGATGATGATGATGCTGATGATGATGATGATGATGATGATGATGGTGGTGGTGGTGGTGGTGGTGGTGGTGGTGGTGGTGGTGATGATGATGATGATGATGATGATGAGGACGAGGAGGAGGAGGAGGGGGAGGAGGAGGAGGGGGAGGAGAGGGGGGAAGAGGAGGGGGAGGAGGAGGAGGAGCAAAAGGAGGAGGAAGAGGCAGGGCCTCAAGGGCAGGGGCACGAGAGGGCCAGAGCTTCTCTCGCAAGCAAGAACTCGGCAGCTGGGCATCTCGGTTGTTTCTGACATGCGAATTTATATTCATCGTTTTTCGCTGTGTGCACGTCCAGAACCCGCAGGGCATATGCTCTGGAAGGGCGCATGGGAGCTTTTTTGGGGGGCATCTTGCTGCATGTTGGGGTCTTTTGGGCTACAGTCAAAAACCCTGATACGGACGCGCGACTTTGCTCAGGGTACCCTTGCATGCTTGATCTTCCTTGCTCTTGCGTCCTTGAGGTTTTCGTCGTCCGCCCCCCAGAAATCCCAACTTCGGCTTCCAAGGGTCTTGCGTCCCTACCGCGCGTCCTTATTAGGGTTTTTGACTGTATCCTCGGACGCTCTGGAGCTGCCTGGCGCCTTCGGAGGCAGAGTTGCTGGCCTCCCTGGGACCGTCTTTTGGGCCTATTGGGCCAGCTTTGACCCTCTTGGGCAGTCTTAGGGCCCTCTTGGGGGCCCCCGTCTTGGAGTAATCGTGGCGGGCCTCTCGGGCAGTCTTCGACGCTCCTAAAAACCAAAACACGAGTATGCATGTTGACACTGACTCTTGCTTGATTGAGGGAAGAAAGTACGGGGCCGTCTTGGGGATCCTCTTGGAGCCCTCTGTGGGCATCTTGGAGGCGGGCTGGGCTGCCGTGGGGCCTTAGGGGCGCTGTTCGATTGTTTGTTTTGCAGTTTGCCTAAGGTGCTCCTTAGGTTTCTGATGGGGCGCCGAAGTTTAACTTACAGGTAAACGCTGCCTCGTTCCTTCCTTAGGTCAACGCCCCGACTCCATTCTGGATGCGCGGGGCGAGGGGGTCAGATGGCCAGGGCCCATGAGCTCTCGGCGAGGCGCAGCTGCTGTAAAAACCGACCCGAACCGAGCCTCCTCCTCCTCCTCCTCCTCCTCCTCATCCTCCTCCTCCTCCTCCTCCTCCTCCTCCTCCTCCTCCTCCTCCTGCTCGCTTCTCGCTGCTCCTCGCTGCATTGGGGCGGCTCGGGGCCATCGGGAGCCACTCGGAGGCCCCTTGGGGCCGTCGTGGAGCCTCTCGGAGGGGCCGTCCGCAGGAGCTCCTCTGGGGATGCCCGGGCCGCCGCCCCCTCTTGCTTTCCACCCTTTCCCCCCTCCACACCCCAGCATCACTGGTGCCTCCTCGCGTCGTTCCAGGAGGGGGAGGAGGAGGGGGAGGAGGAGGAGGAGGAGGAGGAGGAGGAGGAGGAGGAGGAGGAGGAGGAGGAGGAGGAGGAGGAGGAGGAGGAGGAGGAGGAGGAGGAGGAGGAGGAGGGGGTTTCAGGGGCCCTCCCGCCGCCCTCTCCCTCCAGACACGAGGAGTGTGCTCGGGAGGAGCGGTCTGGGGAGAGGCAGCAGTCCCACACCCCGACTGGACCCCCGGGGGGCGGCGAATTGTGCAGCGCCTGTCTTTTAGCACGGAGGGCCCACGCCGTGCCGCCGACCCCCAGAAGAGGGATGAAGTCAACAAGGGAAGCCTTTGGGGGCCCTCTCGGGGACCCTCTGGGGGCTTCTTTCTAGCGGCCTCGTGGGGGCTTTCTCGGGCATCCTGGGACTTTCGTAGGCGCCTGCCGGCGGTCTCGGGGGTCCTCTTGGGGCGATGGGCTCGGAATGTCGGTTCGAGTTGCCTCTCTGGCGCCCCTCTTGGGGCCCTTTGGAGGCTCTCTTGGGCCATCTTGGGCGCCTCTTGGGCCGTCTTGGGGCACGCTGCGGCCGTCCTGGGGCCCTCTGGCAGTCAGAGGCTATCCCGGTCGTCTTCCAGGACCTCCTGTGCGTGTTGGCGCCATACTTGAGCAAGCGTAGATCGATTCTTAGACAGCTTGGAGGCCACAAATTGTAGAAATGCTGGCTCCGGAGGCCCCGAGGGAGCGTTGAGGAG